ATCTTTATTGATCAAGTTTTACATAAGAAACAACAGAATGTTGATAAGCCTTGTGGTATCTCCTCCTTCTTTCATCTCTGCTGATCAAGATATCATATCTAATTTAAAATCTCATAATAGTGTGGTTGAAATACTGTTAGTATACACTCTTCTGATTCCTGATCATCCCTAAGGGACTAGATAAAGAATACAGTGATAAAAATATAATAGGCCTAATAGTAAAATATAATAGGCCTAATAGTAATGTCGTATAATGAATTATGCTCGTGCTTCTGCCAGTTTGGAAAAGGTGTTCACACCATCAGGCTTGAAATTTGTCAATACAACTGGTTTTAACAATGAAACTATTTCAAGCCTTTATATCTTGTAGTGCTTACTAGAGTATTTATAGCTAGATTATATATAAATAAATCAAAAATACGCAATTTCAGAAATAATTTATTGACTCAAACGTTTTAACAATTTGGATTATTTAGATCTCTTTCAGTTAGGGTAAGCAGAATGTCATTAATTAAGAATAATGAGTCTAAACATTAACAACCATTTGGTAGCCATGTGGGTTTTAAATGAAATACGTTTGATCTTTTATATGGTGCTCTTTTCATTTAACTAATTAATCTTTTCACTACTGCATGTAGTGATCTGATAGCTTAGTTTTCATACGGGTATCGTAATTTGTGTATTTCGTATGCTACGCTTATGGAATTTGATGTTTTTATCAATAAGAACACACTTTTAAACAATGAACAAGTCCAGGAGGAGATGTTAAACCTACGTATGTTGACAACCAAACTTATGTGAATACGTTTCTGAAGAGATTAAAGCTGATGCCAGATGGGATTCAAGCTCTTGTTCTGTTAGTTATTAAGTACTTTAGCCACTAAGATATTAGTTTCAAATGACAACCAAAATTCTGAGTTCTCATGTCATTAGAGATTAAAGTTTAGGCAAGATTGAGGTTACGTTTGGTTTAAAACAAAAATTCTGCATATTAACAACAAAGGGCGTTTTAACCTTTTTGGCACTGGAAAGAAGCTACAGTTTATATTAATTCTGAAAGTGCTTTGTTTTTGTTTCTGGATGTTTGAAAAGAAAATCAGTTACAATTAAGTTTCAAGTAACATCTTTTAATTGCTCTGACTACAAAGGATCTGGAAAACATCTTCCTGACTATACAAGTTCACTGTACACGAAAGAAAGACGTTCCATTCTGTGATATCTATACACATAAATACAGTTCCTGTACAGTCTTACTCTTGAACATTCACGCCACTATTGATGGAATTAACATATTTGTCGATAAGAGAACCATTGTTGTTTTCCATGAGTGAGGA